ATATAATGCGTCTAGATCCTTAGACATTCCTCCTACCAACCGTATCCCTCCACTGCTTAGAATGTTCAAATACCTTTCGTTTACCGTTGATTAATTCACATTAAGAATAGGCAAATGTACGGTCCAGAAACGGCATCCCATCCCCGAACGTTAAAGCAATGTCACAGCAACAGGCATGTGCCTAAGGGACTACCGTCATCAGGAGTATGATGGTTGAATAAAACGTGCTGTTTAACGTCCTGTAGCAGTCTTCTTACACCCACTTTTCAAGCGAATGAGAGCCAAACCGGTTCCCAAATGGTTTAAAAGAAGTTGACTATGGCACCGTCAACTTTTTCGAGGACAACACCAACAACTACAGTTTCTTCCTGGCTCTAGAACATAGTCGGCGCTCGCTTTCAATACCGATGTGTGTTGACGGAATATTGCTTGGGAATTTTGAGTACTCTTGGAAAAAAGTCACCAGCTATGCACTCACTGAGTGCAACGGAGGGCTGTACAAGCTAGAAGCTGAGTGTTAACATGTGCGAGATGTTCACGTTTTCAGAGGGTTTATACGTATGCAATCAGTGTGAGCCTATCTGGAATGGCTAGGAGCAGATATACGCGGAGTAATTGTGTCAATCTTTTAGTTCATTCGCTTTTGAGAGTTATTGACCATTTGATACCCTGAAGACCTGATAGTTCCAACGATTGTTGGAGGCACTTCCAAAAATTACCCCGTTCTTCAGCTCATTGTTAGTCAAAAAGTGAGATCAGTTTGTTCCGTGTTGCACAGGTTACTGGATAAAGTTCCATCTAAATGACCGGGTCTTTTTCTCCAATACTTATTGGCTACAAATCTTTCGAGCAAGTCGGTGTATCCTGTTTCATTTCAGCTCGGCCTAGGTGTTGTAGTGTTTCTAACCCGGAGACCGTGGGATTATTCGTAAGCTTTTGTATTTAGGTCCCGTTTACTGTCGCACTGCTACTTTGCATCCTATCGAGCAGCACCTTTCCTTGAGTTCATGAGTTCTCTAGCCCGCGTATTATTCATCTGTGGTCTAGCCTGCAGCTAATTTGCGCTGTCTCTTATCGACCGAATGTACCTATATTTGCATAGAAGAGCTATTGAAAAAAGGTGACAGATCTCACTTTGGGTCTGGTTTCTGAAAATTTTTGTACGTGGTAACTAGGAGAGTTGAGAAAATCAATAACTCTTGTCGCTCCGGTTATCAATCTCTATCTTGAAAGATTACGACATGCATTCCGGATGTTTTTATTCCATAGAAGTATGACCTTCCCCATATAACGCAGCGGTGCTTTTACCTGTCACATTTGAAGAAGCTGTTTTTCGGAACTATCTGTTCGAGACGGCTTCAGACGTACGCATCTTCTGAGCTTCGCTGGGGCAGTTTAGCCAGTCTCCTACAAGCCACTGGGACAGAGCCTCACAAGTAACGGCGTAGCTCAGGGGCTTTAGGGCCAAAACTGGATCGTACCAGTTTTCGTCGCGTAACGATGTAAAGGTTTGAAACAACCAGGACGTGCAGTTATTATTCCATTGGCATTCGTAGAATTCACATCAATGGTTCGGATAGTCCCTTTCCGATGCAGTTATTCCGTTGAGTCCACATCAAAGCGAGAAGCACGGCTTTAGTTTTGCTATCATTAGAATTCACCAAACTGAATTGTATGGTTGGGAGAAATGACCTCTGAAATTGGAAGTGTCTTTAGGCCTCTGACAGCCAATGCATCGGAACCATCGCCAGCAGTTTCGAGGTGATTTAGTATGCACTTCACTTTGCAACTGAGTATAGTGCCGCAAACTGCGCTGGCTTGGTTACGCGTTACGAATGCTTAGCCAAAGTCTACGAAGAGAAGCCCTATTTTTTTTGTCGGACAAGACATGATTTGGTTGAAGAAACGTGTCGACTTCGGACAAGACATGATTTGGTTGAAGAAACTCTAGATTAGGGTTGGGTGTCTGCGGCTTGACTTCCAAAGTGGACTTCATGCGACCCTCCCCCACTTTGCTCAGGGACGCCGCAAGTTACGGAAGCCAGCCATAGTCGGTGTTACCTCTTGAAAGTTAATTAGGTTGTCACCCGATTTGGCAAATGGCGCGTAGTACCGAAAACAAGGTGCCTATCATCAGTCTTGTTCATAGCTGACCGTCTCAAGGGTAACTACAATTCTAGGTGGCAGCTTCAATAAAATGAGATACCCATCCAGTCTGTTTTGCTGGCCTCGCACCAACTACTGCTGTCTAGTTGACTTCTTTAAACGCCTACGTTAATTATACTCAGTATGCGTTTTGCGAAGATATTTTCCGGGTAGACTATACTTCTCAATACGTGCAGCCTAAGGGACGTTACGCACCTAATTGTTGCTTGCTTGGCCACATCTACTCGTCAAATGCTTTCTCATACAAGACGACCTTTCGAATCTGTTGCAACCTCTGGAATGTCATTTTTGGGAATTTTGTCCTTGGACTGAACGGTGGACAGTCGCATCTGAAGATTTGCTACTTTTGAGCAACCCGGTAGTTATCCCACCGTCACGTGTACCTGCTGTCCTAGATGTCTTGCACTCCGCCTATTTCTTTGTTAGGGTGAAAGTTGGTCCGTCCCACTTGCTGATGTCTATGAATCGAAAACTACTTCATGTGGTGTGTCAATCATAAGCAGGATGCTCAACGTTCTGAGTGAACCTGGTAAAACAATCTGAACTCACTAGCGGTAGGCACTGTCCTCAGTAAGGCGACGAGACCCCCGGATCAATTTGAAGATAACAGTAAGAACAATCCAGTTGTAAGTTGAAGCTATTTCGTACAATCTCACTTGCAATCGCGCTCGTAGAACGGGACAAAATGTAATGAATTATGAAACTACTTGGAACGTTTCAATGGAACCAAGACGTACGGCACTCCGTTACTATCAGAATGATCCTCAGGTTTCTCCGAACGCAGAACACAAGTTTGAATAGGCCATTCAGTATTACTTCAACGAAATTATTTCTACGTGTTCGACCGCTTCGTGCTGTAAGCCAAAATGAAGAGCTGATTTGACCGTTTGCGTCCTCTCTAGCAGATACTTGGTGATCGGTTATTAGGATTCTGATTCCCAAAAAGTTAAATGGGGGTCAGGTATTTCACATGACCACTTTCCAAGTTTGCAATGGGAGTTGTCCCTCTTTAGGAATAGTCTCAACGAATTACTGTTGGCGAATCCATTATTCTGCACATTTGTGCTCTAATTGATCTTGTCAACTTATGTCGTGTATCTGTAATATAACCGGATTGTAGCAGGGATTTCTAGTAAGCGAATTCTGAATCAGGATTTCGTTTCGTGGCGTTGTGTTTCATTGACATAACACACATTCATTAAAGTTACAACACAGTAATCAGAAGGCGGGAACGTCCATACATGAACATGTATCGAGCAGAGATCAGGGTGACGGTACAAAGGATGATGTGTAGGTAACAATCCAATAACAGTATCCTGGCCCCAGGTGCTTTGACAGTCAGTTGAAACTGACTGGTCGTTTGGATATTCATACCATGAGAGGTGGATTAGTTGCACAGTATACAGCAGCGTTAGATCACCAAACGGGAAACAGGGTACATAAGGATGGAATACGCAACCACAGCGGCACTCACAATTCACGGTAGTCTGTTGGAGCATAGAGACACCGTGTATATCATAGAAGACATTTCCTTAGCTGCTTTACGGTGGTCAGCATTCAGAAAAAAGGACCACGTACGGGCATTGTAAATTAACCGTTTTATCGGTAACCAGTAGTAAACAAGGCAGTAACAATTAAGGTCTTGCCTGAAACACCATCCCTGTTTTTGAACGTTCCACTGTAAAAGTACGCTCATTTCAGACAAAGGACCTATTATATTAGTCGTACAACGGAGACTCCAAGTAAGTGAAGAAGCCGGCTGCCAAATTTCTACTTCCAGAGACCCCCACGAGGATGTTTGAAAATGCCGAGTAGTAATCTCAAATGGTTGAATGATCACTTATTTTTGATGTGAGATCGGCTGCTCACTGGCGAAAAGTGAACATTTTCGTCTTAATGATTAGAATGACGCTAATCACCCGAAGAGAACAGGCCGCTTGGTTTTCGGTATGCGCCTGAAAGTAGAGTGCTCGTTTGGACCAGAGCTGAACAATTTGGCGTCCTGCTGGTTGACCAGTTTAGGCCCGACCTGAAGCTTCCACCTGGACATGGTGGTCGGGCCTAAGTGTTGCA